AAAAAGACATGAAGACAGACTGCGACCACAAAGGGAAGGTGAAGCTGAAGCTGGAAGCTGTGCATCCAGTCATTTCGGCTGGTGCTCGCGTGCTCCGCAAACTTAATTTTGCTGCCGACTTTCATAAAATAAGCGTTCGAACAGGTGCAGAATTAGAGTAGGCGTACCAAATTCCAAAAAGAACGACAATACTGAAAAGGAACTTGATAGTTTACTAAGACCTTTCTCAATTCCTATTTATTTCTACTGTTTTGTGGATAAGTGTACGGAAAAAGTAACGTGAAAGTAGTTTGTAATGTAGTAAAAGAATTCCTTACTTTTCAGCGAAAGTAATTTCTAACGGTGATCCATTACATTTGAGGCGCTGTAATTTGTCATTGTAATCCATTACATTTTTCAAGTAACGAGCACAACTCTGGAGTTGACGCGCCGCGGGGTGAAGATGAGCCGGTGGCGGCTCGAACTGTGGACACGTCGGAGTTCGGTGACGTGGTTTTGCCGTGTCTTGGCAGCTGGACCAGGAACACGCAAACCAGTCTTTAGCTGAGGCTTGGGACTGAGTAGGGCCTAAGGCCAGACCAAGGGGAAGTCAGGAGAGCCCGGGTCCGTCGCCCGTCGGCTTCCTCTTCCGCGCCTTGCGGCCTCCGGCGGGGTCCTAAGTTCCGAACAAATCGAACGTCGTTTCTCGTCTTTCGTCGACTTCGGACCCTCGGACACGCACGCACACAATAGAGCGTGCGTGGCCCTTGCACGACACGTGCACATTCGAAGCCACATAATACCGAGCACATCATAGCGCACATCTTGCGCTACGATCGCATTCGTGTAAACGTGGCCACATGCTATAGACTGTGGCTACGTTTACATGAATGTAACCGTTTTATAAGTTTACATGAATGTGATCGGGTAACGCATCGAATCGAGCAGGGACCAATCTCACGCGGCCTGTCTGCTTGCTTAATCCTCTTCTACTAATCTGCTATCAATCAAAATAGTCAAATCTCGATTTAATGCGCGACGGTCGCATCCATGTAAACGCAGCCACAGTCTAATCATCATGTCGTATTACACCTGAGACTGCGGTGGAAGAAATCGGAAGAACTTTCAGTAGAAGGAACAGACACAGAGAACGTCTCAAAGTCTAATCATGAAAGGTGAAGTTCCTAGAAAATGAATTACTCAGAAAACAATAGACCGATCTCACCAGCTAGTTTGAGTACGCCACCGCTGCCGACATGCATCGTGGGAGCTGTAGTCTTTCTGCACGCGCGACAACCCTGCTGGAGGTCTGCGCGAGCAGAGCACGATTGGCGAGCTATCTCGTGAACTGGCGTCTGCCTCCTATGCACTACAGTTTTTTATTTACAGAAAAAAAAAACCTGCAGCGCCGAAAAACTTCGGCATTATAGCAGGTACAGCCCATGGATTAATACGCTCAATAAAATAAAAACAGAACACTTGAATATACAACCTGGGCTGTCAATAAAGAAAATACATAAACATTGGACATAAATAACATTAAAAATCAAGACCATTTCCTGAGGTAAATGGTCCCACGTCGTCACGAATAAGAAAAGACTTTGGTAACAAGTTCCAGTGAGCAATTGTGCGTGAAAAAATGAAAACTTCTTATAATCTGTTCTACAAGAAATTTCCCTTATTTTTCTGGTATGATCTATACAATTTGAAATGTAGGTAGGTATTTTTATGTAGTTGCTTTTATCAATACCAGTCATATCATTAAAAATTGAAAGCAAGAACCTGAATCGAAAATCATTGCGCCTTGACAATAAAGTTTCCCAACCAAGTACATTTTTAGTCTCTGTTACGCTATTGTTCCTGCTATAATTTTCTGTTACGAATCTCGCCACACGGTTTTGAAGTTTTTCTAACTTATCTGCAAGGTACTTTTGATGCGGATCCCATAAAACACATGCGTGGAACGTCCCGCATGCGTGCAACGCTTGGTGAGATCGGTCTATTGTTTTCGACGAAATGAAACGCCGTTCCCGTCCATAGATGCCAGATCATCATCATCATCATTTATTTTCCTTGAGGGCCCCAGGGGGCATTATACAAGGGAGTGAACACACTAAAAACATCAACCAAAATAGTTAATAAAAAACACGCTGTAACCTATACTTGTATTTCAGAAAGAAAGAGGTTAACGGCTGCAGCAAACTTGTTAGTGTCAGTCATGTTTACAATGAGGTCAGGTAATGAGTTCCAATCGTCAATAGCAGATGGTAAAGTCGACATTTTATAGGAGACAGATGACGAAGTAATTGAGCGCAGTTTACATGAGTGGTCAAAACGAGGGAAAATACGGTAGGGAGGTGATAGTAGAGAATCTTTTAGATGGTTGTTGTGGTAAAAGATTTTGTGAAGAAGAGTGAGACGTGACACCCTTCGACGTAAAGAAAGTAAGTCAAGGTTAGCTGATTTGCGTAATCCTGATATGCTAGTGTATGGGGAGTAGTCAGAGTAAATAAAACGAAGACCTCTGTTTTGAACGGATTCAAGGTTGTTAGTTAGATATGATTGCCATGGTGACCATATGGATGAAGCAAATTCAAGTTTAGATCTGACCAAGGTCGTATAAGCTTGTAGTTTTACTGAAGGCGTAGCTAGTCTGAGGTTACGGCGAAGAAATCCGAGAGTACGGTTAGCATCGGCAGTGACAGCATTTATGTGAGTAGTCCATGACGAATCAGAGGTCAGGTGAACGCCTAGGTATTTATATGAGGAACAGGTAGCTACTGGGATAGTGGAAAGGTGATAAGAAAAGGATGAAATATGTGAACTGCGGGTGAATGATAGAGATTTACATTTATTAAAGTTTAAAGTCATTTGCCATTTGTGGCACCACTGAGTTATAAGTGCGAGGTCATTCTGCAAAATTTGATTATCGTGGTTTGAATTAATAGGTCTATAAATTACACAGTCGTCGGCGAAGAGACGTATTGAAGAGGAGATGTTGAGGTAGAGATCATTAATGTGTATTAAAAATAGAAGGGGGCCAAGAACGGTTCCCTGGGGGACGCCGGAGGTTACAGTGCAGGTGGTAGATTTGGTGTTGTTAATAGATGAGTACTGGGTGCGATTTGTGAGGAATTCGGAGATCCATTTGACGACTGAGGGATGGATATTAATATTTCTAAGTTTCAGTAAGAGACGTTGGTGAGGGACCCTGTCAAATGCCTTGGAGAAATCAATAAATATGGCGTCAGTTTGCTTATTAGAATCAAAACTTGAGTAAACGTCAGTAAGAAAAGCTGTTAGTTGCGTTTCGCATGAGTATGACTTGCGAAAGCCGTGCTGATGCTCGAAAAGAAGGCTGCGGGAGTCTAGAAAATTTATTATGTTAGAATAGAGTATATGCTCTAAGAGTTTAGACGACACACTGGTGAGCGAGATCGGGCGATAGTTGTTGATTAGTTGGCGATCACCTGCTTTGTAAACGGGGATGACGTTAGTGATTTTCCAATCGCAGGGAATTTCAGAAAGTTGAAGAGACTGCGAGAAAATGTCGCAAATGAAAGTTGAAGAGACGTGTTTAGTATTTATTAATATTTTCGAGTTTATTTGGTCGTCGCCAGAGCTAGAAGACACCTTCAGCTGATCAATGGCCTTCAGTACACCGGAGCGGTCGATCATGATAGGATTCATAGGAGGATGAAGGGGTTGGCACAAGTTGGGCATACTTGACAAGTCTTCATTGGTAAAGATCGAGCTAAAAAAGTTGTTAGTTTCAAGAGCACTATGTTCGTCAGAAAGTGGAAGGCCGTACTCGTCAACGAATTGTAATGGAAGAGAGAGTGCTGGGTTAATTACTTTCCAAAACTTTTTAGGTTTATTGGTTAAAATGTTGGGGAGGTCATGAGTATAAAATTTGGATTTGGCATGATGAATCGCGGATTTGTAGGCCCTAGCGCATTCGTGATAGGCGTTCCAAGATGCGTTAGTGTTATGAGCCTTTGCCCTCGTATAAGCTCTTTTTTTCCTGTTGGAGTGACAATGAACTGTTTTATCGTACCAAGGGTTAGTGTTATCGGATATAATTCGAGTGAGTGGAACGAAACGTTTGATTAGGGATGTTAGTCTATCTTTGAAAAGAATCCAGTTTTCATTGACCGTCCTTTCTGCGAAGTTGACTGAGAATATGTGATAAAATTCTTCGAGGTTGGTGTTGATAGATGCGTAGTCGGCTCTCGCATGTTCAATAAAGCGCGTATTTTGTATCACCTTAGCTCTGACACTGTTGTGTGGTAAAACGTAAATAAATAAAAATTGAGGTCGACGAATTATTTTAAAGCTAGCACTCTAGTTCCGAAGCAGCCATTCTCCCAGCCACATTTTCATTTGTTTCTTCTTTTTTCTCTTTTAATTATATTTAAAATCGAAAGAATAAAACACGGAGGTCGAACACAAACATTCACGTTCTTAAAACACACACACACACACACACGAAAGAAAGTGGTTGTCTTGTGCTTGTCCTCCGTGTTTTATTCTTTCGATATTAAGTATTCATGTTCAACTCGCTCGGCTTTTACCATCAAATATATTTCTTGTTTCTCGTCCGCCGAGTCCATGTTTCAGATTCTGAAGTAGACATTGTGACACCTTGAACAAATCATTTGTCTTCAATGTTTCGCTTGAATTACGAACGCTCATTCTTGAAATCATATGCAACGCAATCCGTAAGCCGAGGAAGATATTGAAATAGAATCGCAATTTTAAATAAATTTTATTACTGAGTTACAAATACCATCTATAAATTTTAACTTGATTGAAATAGATGCCCTAGAAAAAAATATATATATCAAGGATACAACAGAAAACAGTTGTACCTCAATACTGCAGAGCTTGTAGTTACTGAAGATCACAACATGAACAACTAAAGAGAAGATATACATTTTTTCATAAATGACAGATTCAGATAAAGGCCGCATGACACTGCTTTATTTATCGCAGTCGCCTTAATAAGGCTACTTTCCTTATTATTTACGGCACCAATCACTCGTAAGGTCCGCTTTTATCTTCTCCATGTCAGTCTTCCATTTAAGGAAGTTTTGTTTCAGGTCTTCAGTGCAGTTCTTTAGGGAAAGAAAAAGCAATCTTGTTTTTATAACAAACAGAACACAAATATCTGAGTTCAGACAACTTCGTTTTGCTGGTAGTTGTTTTATTAATTGCACTGCAATTCTTATATAATGAAATGCGTGATAAAAGATCCAACACAAAAGAGGGACTAAACTGTACTTTTTTTCAAATCAGACACGGGTACTTGGGTGGAGATTTCGTTTTAGTACTCGCACCGAACAATATACTTTTAGACCCTTGACTATTTTAATAAAGGTAACGTGCCACTTTTTCTGGACGTTCACTTAAAAAATGGCAGTATTAACCTTTGAAGTTCACAACCTACAAAACATGGGATAGATTATATCTCGTATTGGCAGTCGCAACAAAATTAAAGAAAAAACGGCGTTCACTTCCTCAAATTACGGACAGAATGAGCGGCCACATGATCTCGTGCCGATTGTATGCTGCTCAAAGTTCATCCCAGCCGTGCACTGGGGTTGGCAGCCACATCGCACGTGCAAAGCTGCAGACAGTGTTAGCGTTCGGCTGTTCCCGTCACAGCAGCAATTTGAGTCCTTTCACTACCCGAATACTCATTCAAGCATTCGCTGTCATGAGACCAAGCCGTGCGCTCACCAGTGTTGGGAGTACTTTAAGTACATTGTATTTAAAGCACTACTTCAAGGAGGTTTAGAATGCCTGTACTTTACTTGAAGTGCACTCTCTGAGAATGTACTCGTACTTTAATTAAAGTATTGTTTCTGCTGCTTTCCGAAACAGCACTAAATGATGCTTCGTCAACTTTGAGTCCAATTGACTTCATCCAATAATCGGCGCCATTTCCAGAAATAAATAATGCACCCCCGACTATCCCTGGAGCAACGCATACCAGTTAAGAAAACACTTTATAGGGCAGCGGTCTCGAATTCATTCGAGTGGGGCGGGCCAGATAGCCCACCCTGAAAGGACGAGGACCAACGGGAAAGGTGAGGGGGGCAGTATTTTGTTAGTTTGGGACAAAAAAGAAAGAAACACTGGTGTTTCACGTTGCAAAGCAGCCGACTGTCCAGTGACACCCCATAGATTGTCTAGACAAGGAACCTTGTGCTTTCCGGTTTTTGTAAGCTGATCGTTTGCCGTCTACAGCTTCATTTGCAAATACGACTACTTTGGGCCCACACCTGAGGTAATAAAAAATGTAAAACACGTCCATACCACAGCAATGACAGTTTTCAAAACTCGCCGAAGACACTTACGACTGCTTACCTGTAGGAATGCGAGAGCATTCCTACACAAAGCGCATTCCTACAAGCAGCGCCCCACGTCTTCCTTTCGCACGCGGTGCTGCGCCGGTAACACCACGTTCCCCCACTGCGCAGGCGAGGCGAACCTCGCCGACTTCACGACGGCTTCCATGACGAAACATCTGCGTTGCTGCGCTTTTCTTTGTGTTTTATTTTTGAGGCACGTCCGCTTTGAACTTGAGCGCCCCCGCCGGCTTCAGTAAAGCGCGATCCAAACCAACGCTTCTTTTTGCGCCTGTAGGTCGTGCGGCTGCGGATGTGACGCATTTCGTGACGTTTTTGCTGTTTCCGGGCGCGCTTTCTGAGTCAGAACCGTGCGCTTTGGTTTGGACGGGCCAGCTTCGGGTGAGCGCGCACGCGCGCAACAGACTGGCCGGCCAGGCCAGTCTGTCGCAGCCAGAAGGCGGCGAGAGAGAGAGAGAGAGAGATCGCGTTGTTATGTTGGAAGAGAATAAAAGTGGGGGGAGGAGGGGGCCAATTGTGGATGCGCACCGGGCACTTTTGTCACTTGCTCTGAGAAGGCGGCGAAGAAACGCGGAGCCGGAACTAGCTTGCCCTCCACCGATTGGCCAGGACACAGGAGCGCCCTACTACGTCACCGCGCGTTTTTGTGCGCGTTGAGAAGAAGTTGAAACTATCCAACTTTTTTGTGCGCGCCCGGAAGGAGCGGAGAAGCGGCGCGACGTCACGAAAATACGTCACATCCGCAGCCGCACGACCTACAGGCGCAAAAAGAAGCGTTGGTTTGGATCGCGCTTAACGAAGCATCTGCGTTGCCGTGCTTTTCTTTGTGTGTGTTTGTGTGTGTGTGTCTTTTTTTTTCTTTTTTTGGGGCGCGTGCTTGATGACCTATTTTTATGGCCATCTTTTGGGCACAACGTCAACGTCGCTTTTTCGCAATGGGACAAGTAAGGCTTTCGCCCTAATAAAACGATAGTAAGCACACCGTCATTGCCCTGTCGCACAATAGAAAAAAAATGTCTGCTTTCCTGGCGATTATTTTAGCAACATTAAAAGAAACAACATTAGTTTTAAAGTATTCACTGACAGATGTAAGATCGAGCTTATAGCTCTATCTTACTTTGGCTGTTGCTCTTGCTGAACAAGAGTTCATGTAGCCGAGGTACCGCCTTGAGCAGAGTGCGTGAACTTGTATACCCTATAGTAATTTTGTTGCCATACCGGTTGATTTACATGAGAAAGGGTTGAAAAGCCAATATTTAATCGAAGCAATACTTCTTTCAAGACAAAAAGAACCAGAATAGTGCAAATTGTGTAAACGGGGTAGAGCTCCCTTTGGAGCGGAAATGAATCGACGATACAAAAATACTATTTATGGTGCATGTGGTGCTCGGGGACGCGGTATGCTTGTTGGCCACATCCCAGAGAGTCGCGGGCCACATGTTTGAGATGCCTGGTATAGGGGAATGGTAGGGAATCTTGAAAGATTGTGTTAATATACTTGTACGTTACTTTGAAAGTACACTAGTGTTTATGGTACTTTATTTCATGTACATTGACCCCAGGTGTACTTACTACTTTACTTGAAGAGCATAACCTCTAATACACGTTGTACCTTAATTGAAGTACTTTTTAGATGTTTTTTGCCCAACACTGGTGCTCACACAGTACTCGTGTTACATCTATGAGCTGCATTTGAATATCGTTATTATAAGATAATCCCGCGACTACGACCACGATACGATAACCGTTACTACGTCACTATGTTTGGCGAGGGAGAAGTTGGAAGAAAATGTCCACACTTATTGTCGAAATTACACAGCGACAAAGGTGCTTCTAGGCCAGTGGCACTGCGTGCAAGTATACTAGGATAACAGAAGTGCCAATATGTTTGTGTAAAAAAAAGAAGCGCTTAGCCTGATGTTTTTTCCTTTTTTTTTTGAGGTGAACGCGTTGGTTTAGTGTAAAGACGAGTCAGAATGAAAATCCAAAAAGAACACGCACAACACATTCTTAAGAACTGTACTTTCTGTACTCTGTCCATATATAGTTTTTTCTCCATATCGTTCCAAACGCTTTTAAATACTACTATTACTGCTTGCTACTGTAGCTAATGTGGCTACCATTGTTACCACTATTGTTTTTAATCCTGCTCCTAACTTTGATAAAAATACAATCACCTTTATTATGTCATTATGTAATATATTTTTTTCCTAATCATTATTCCTGCAAAACAACTGGCAAGACAGGTCGTAAATTTTAAGCAGAAATTCGCCTATCACGTGGAAGAAAAGATGCACTTTATTGCACGTGACCATCGCCATCTCATTTATTCCCACCAGTTATCGTCTAGATCATTGTTTGCCTAAATGCAACACTAAAAAGCTTCAGGAATTGTGGCTGGATTGTCAGGTTTCGGTTTCTACCAGCCTCTTTAGTAGTCGACGTGATCATCAGGAGTTGGGTATAATATAAAAGACGTTTTTCGATTGCGGGAAACAATTGTCAACAATGTTATGTAGTTGTTACACATCAAAAACTATTTTGAGCTATGCACCGCCAGTACACTGGAAATAGGAAAATATCTGATCATCTGAATATACATTGCAAACATGACTGACTGTGTCTTGCCCTAGGGATCCGATGGAATGACGGATGGTCTTGTAAATGCAAAAAATGGTTCGCGTACTAACTCTGCGCACAATAAATTGCAATAAGTACCACATGTGTTATGGCTAAATAAAGGCAAATGCTAAAATTTTGATATAGAATTAGCATGCCTTTAGTAAAGCAAAAGAGAACTATAAATATATTTTTAAAGAAATATATAAACCAGGGCAGCTAAAATATAACTGGTACCCGCAAGAAAAAAAAAAGAAGAGCGAGGGAAGCGAGTTTATTTTCTTGTGACTTACCGGGCTACCCCAGAGGCAAACGTTCGGGTGCAAGTCCAGCTTCTGGTTAGCATCATGACATCTCACCTGGCACGTTTTAGGAAGGTAAGCACTCATACCCTGTAATGCATTTATATATGATGTCACAAATAAAAATTGAAATAAAGCTATGTCCCTTAAAAATAAAACCAAAGAAAACGTTGAAAAGGTGAATTTAAAGGAAGGCCCGCCAGTAGAGAAAAGGAACCCGACACTCACTTCCCTTTTCGTTACTTGTAACCCGTTACAAGTAACGGAATACTTGTAATCCGTTACATTTTTAAGTCATTTTGTAATTGCGGGACTACTTTTTTGCAACAGTAACTTGTGATGTAATTTCGTTACAAAATTTATGTAACGAATTACTTTAATTACTCGTTACTTTTATAAAATATGAACTTAATTCAGAAACTGCGGCAATATGAGCAGGCAACTCAGCACAATAAAAATGGAAAGTTCAACAAAAAAGAATACGTCATGAAGAGGAGAATAACCGAAAAGAAAAACGTGCAAGTCATATAGGAATATGCGAAAAACAAAAATTAAGAAGGCAACGCTGAGTTGGCGTTGTCTTCTTGATCTGCCAGTGGAGGTAAACGCTGCTACTGAGTATGCGCTAGCTTTGCCAAATTCCGCTGATAATTTCCGGTAGCCGTAAGCTAGAGGGATGGTGGGTGTGGTGGCAGCTTTCGCTGCCTTGTCAGCTTACAGATGAGCGGAATGAACCTACATTCTTTTTCTTAAATGCAGCACTTAATTGTTACAAGGAATACCCTAATGCGGGCGTATGAAAAATGAAAAGTAGTGTTGCAAACCATCTTTTAAAACACCAAAACTGCTTCTATTCTTTTCTTGATAAGTCTACAGAAAAGTAACGTGAAAGTAATGTGTAACGTAAGGAGTAAAGTAATCCGTTACTTTTCAGCGAAAGTAATTTGTCACGGTAATCCGTTACACTTGAGGCTCGATAATTTGTAATTCTAATCCGTGCTTTTTATTTTTAAAACGCAGACGATTCGTTTTGTCAGCAGGAAACTCACAAATAACGACACAATTAAGCACGGTTAAGGCAAGTCCGAAGGCGTGTTCAATTTACGAGAAGCCCGTCAGGTTCTCTTGGCGTCAGCGACTCAGGAGCGCGGCTTCCAGCGAAGGGAAGGAGCTCTTCAAGGACAGCAGGTTGCGGACAAACGGAGATTCCCCGAGAGGCGAAATAAGTCCCGCAGCTTCACGTTCACTAATCTGCCTGCGCACCTGGTTTAGGGCTTTTAGAATGTTATGGCGAATTCGGGTGGTCAATCGTTGGCAACTTATTTTGCCGGAAAACCGGCAATAGTGTTCGCGTGGTTAGTTTCCGGCCGGCGCGCACCGTTCGGGTGGTGGTTCTCCGGCAAGCACCGAATTTTTTCCGGTGCTTTTTTCGCCCGAGCTCAAACGGCTGGGCGAGTAGGCGCCTGACTTTATCCGGTGTCGTGACTTCCGAAATGGGAGAGAAGGTCCGTGAGAAGAGAATGACCGAAAGAGCGAAACTGATCTGAAGTCACTTTAGCAGCTGCCACTCGAGTCAATCCAAGTCGTTGGGACATGGGTGACGGCGGCGACAGGCTCTAGCTAGCGGTGTCGCGCGGGCAAGAGGCGAAGTAAACTGCCATTGTCTGGCGTTTCGTGTTCGGGTGCTGAGGGTCACGTGGTGTGCCGCCGGCGTGTTTCTGGTGGCCGGTTCCGCCGGCTCGGTCTTGCCGGCGATTGACCACCCGAATTCGCCATCAGAAGGAAACTGAAGCGGTTCTGTATTTGAGTAAAAACACTTAAATCGCCATCATTTGGCCTCCCGGATCACGAAAATCGAGATTCTTTGTTTGTTTTTTTTTGTTTTCAATTTGGTGTGCGGAGGTTGCAGTGAATCATTTTCTAAGTACTGCCGAAGCACCTCCGAAGTGCATCTTCATAAAAGGAGTTTTTGGAATCTCCACTCTGGCGCATCTTCAGTGCCTACCAAAGCTATGCACGCGCACTCTTGTTATTATCAAAGTTATCAGAAAAAATTACAGGAGAATGCTTAAGCTTCGCCTTTAAGTGTGGAACGCCATAGCTAGGGATATTCACTCTTTCTCGCGCGAGTTTAAATGTGGTGGTGCAGGTGTGCAAATAGCCCCCAACCACTTATTTAAAAAGATAGAAAGCGCAAACAAAACAAGGAAATTATAGCCACAAAGACGACAGGACGGGTGTTAACCTGTCGTATTTGTACCTTTATTGACCCTGTTTTGTTTGTGCTCTTTAACCCTTTAAATCAGTATGAACCAACTCGCCAAAACCGATGTTTTAACTCATCCACTTCCGGTTCCAAACGAGATGGCGGGTTTCGCAGTTAATGCGATATCAAATATGCACGTTATCTTTTGGAAATTTCCATTTATAGCACTGTCAGACTTAACTCACTCATGATAAAATAATGATGAGGAAAAAAATGAGGAGCAGTGTTTGGAGATTTTTGTTTGTCCTTTGTCCCCCTGTTCCCCTTCTCCAGGGTTTATTATCTTCATTCTTGTCCAGCTCGCTTGCGCCTTTGCATTTAATTGCATTATAATCATAACCTTAAGATGCAAGCCTTTCACCCTTGTTGGTGTTACACCCAGACAGAAACGAACTTCAATCCTTTTCAAGGTCTCAATGGCTGGAGACTGCGCATTGCTGGCGTGATTCAGCGGCAAGGCGTATAATAATCTCGAGAGAATAAGGCCTCTGGATAGCTGTAGCATCATGGCCTGAGACGTTCCCTACCTGCTGCCCATGATCATTCGAATGGCGTTGAGGTGGCGGCGACGTCTGATCAGTGTTGTCTTGACTGCAGGCTTCCAGAAGATGCGGTAGCCAGAAGAAACCCCAGGTAGGAGTACGTCCGGACACGTGCTACGTCTGTTCCGTTAATTGTGTAGATTCTGTTGATGGATCCTCTAGCCGTTGGCTGATATTGAAAGGCAGCTGTTTTGGGGGCGGAGAGTGTAAGGCCTAGTCCAGAAATTTTACCTACAACTATAGTCAATCCGTCCTAAAGGGCTTGCTCCATCTTGCTCTATATCTTAGTCGGGGCGGTAGTCCGGAAGGCCTGCCAGCAGCGTCAACGCTGCTGGTAGGGCTGCCATAGCAGCGTTAAATAAGAGAGGCTTATAACACTGCCCTCGGGAACGCCTTGGGACACCGTACATTCAGAACTTCGAATTCCCCCTAGTCGTAGACTCAAACACCTTCCTGTAAGAAAGGCGCTTACGAATGCCAAAGCTCGGCCATGCAACGCCGAGCCTTGTAAGCTGAGCGATAATGATTTCGTGTGGAATTGCATCGAATGCTTTCTTAATATTGAGAAATATCGCTGTTGTTGCTTGCCTTGTTGCCTTCGATTGTTCCATGTCTGATACGAGGCTGCCGATCGCGTCTGTCGTACAACGTTGTTTGCGGAAGCCAGACAGCTGATTAGGCAGGGCGCCCGATGTCTCGAGCTGCCAGTCAAGGCGCCGAAGGACCTTTCGCTCCATCACCTTCCCTAGACAACATAAATGAGCATTAATGCCCAATTGAACGCCGCTGAGTGCTGGCGTGGACGGCCACGTTTCTATACTGCCGAGGTAGCGGCCGCCGATGATATAAATGCTTCTTGCCGCTTGCGACGCTTTGATTCACGAGCCGGTTTCGCTGGTGACTGCTGTGCATGCCGCTGGGTGAGGCAACGGCGGGAGTGGGAAGCTCGGCGCAGCGCCGGGAGTGCGAAGCTTAGCGCGGCGCGTGCTGAAATCACGTGTCCTTTCATCATCATCATCGCCCTAGCTGCTGGTAGCGGTTGACGACGTTAGACCTCAAAGTGTAACGTTACGCCTAACGTTAGGCCTAACGTCAGGCCAGTGCATAGCCGCGCCCCCTACCCCTTTCCCGCTGCGCCGCCAGCAGTTCGGCTGGCTCCTTAAGGCTCTGTTATACTCCGACGTAACGCGCGCGCAGGCGAACGCTGGCCAAAGTCGGCTACGTCACGTCAGTCACGCCGCGCGCGTCAAAAATTCGCCCTCTTTATACTCCGGCGGCCGTGGCGACTCCCGCGGCTGTGCTGGCTGTGCGTCGGTGGGCCGCCGGCGTGGCGCATGCGCAGAATCTGACTACGAGGGCACGTTTCCTGTGAGAGTGCGCCACTTCCGGTTAATTTTCGTTTCGAATAGCAGACGAGAATGCTCGCGCTTCTTGAGCGCCAAGTTCGAGCGATGACGTGGACGTACCTTGCACGACGAAAACTCGCGCTTGCACTGTTGGTGCACCACCTGCGCCGCAAGCGTAGGCGGTCAATGTACATACGGTACATCTTTGACAACCGTACGGTCTACGGTACTCAAGCTTCTTCGTGTCGTAGACACACGGGTGAGGACGAGTTCCCTCGATGAGCTTCTCGACCGACCGAGTCCGATTCTTCAAACATGACGCCACACGGAGTGGTGCTCCTGTCGTCTGCTATTGCTCGCATTCGCCGCACTTCCCGCGCGACGCCTGCCGGGAGCCAGCACGTGATGCATCCTGGTCCGGCGTCGCCGGCGCGTCCGGCGCGGAATACCGCATGCTCCATTTTGGCGTCAAGGCGGTCAGGCTGCGTCGAACGCCGCCGGTCGCGTCGGTTACGCCACGACGCCGGAGTATAAAGCGTCGGGTTTTCGCCGACGTGACGTCGCTGTGGCGCGCTCGCGCGCGCGCACGCGTTACGTCGGAGTATAACAGAGCCTTTAGCAACGATGACGCATTGCTATGGAGCCAAATGACGTCGCCGCCAATGGTAATTTAGGTGCCGCTTCGCTGCTACAGACAACGCCACCTTCATTCCATGGTGCAGTTAATGCTTTCGTATAAATGTAACAAACATTTTAGCAGCATCCGCTTTGTCTCGCACGTACAGGCCGTTCTCACATGGAGCGAAGCGCTGAAGTAGCGCTGCTCACGCGTAGTCAGCTACTTATAGTCTGCCACGAGCAACAGTTTTGACGGTGCGAGACAAAACCTGATGAACACTCCCGTCAGCACGCGCTTAGCGAGAGGTCAGCACCTGT